CTAGAACTGTTTACTGATTCAGCCCCACCGGTAACAATCTTGTTACTCGAGAATGTCGGAAATGATTTTTTTGGCACTGAGAATGTCCTTTCCTTATCGATCACAGTGTAGCTTCAACTTTCATAGCCATCTCCATCGCTTCCTCAAGTGTTACTGGATTGAGAAGTCGAACCTCGGCTTTGATCGAATTCTTCAAATCGTTGATGAATTGACTCATGAATACTTCTTCCGTAATTCCTTCTAATGGTGCCGCCAATTCCACAAACTTCATCCTAAATTCATCGACTGTACCTTCTTGTTTGACAACCAAAAATTGTTCGCATAAGGTTCCAGTTGCTGCCGATCTGAATTGAAGAAGAATCAGTTGACGCAAAGCCTCCCATCGTGAAATCGGATGTCGACGATTCTCCCACTGAAACCATTTTAAAGCAGTACCTTCAAACGCTATAAAGGATACGTCATTTTTTTCTGCTGCGTCAATCGATTAAGATAAAAATAGCGTTCCTCACAAAGAATCCATCCATCAGGATCGGTTCCGTCGAAAGAAGGAATTTCCAGCTTTCGACCTTTCACGGCAAATAGTCGACTCGATCCTTGCCTCTCCTCGTTCTTCCTCTTCGATTTCGCCGTTTCTTCCCCATCCTCACCGTCCGATATCCTGACGTAATCACCCTAGCTGATACTTCGTTGCTTAATTTCTCCAATTGCTGAAAAATCTTCTCTAAATTCTTCTCCATTAGCTGTTGATTCTTCTCAATCGATCCAACACAACTTTCCAAATCATCTATTCTGGCTGTCGCACTTCTCATTCCCATAGCTGGATCGAATTCGCTCTGATACCAATTTGATGCAAATTGATTGTAGTCGGTAGCTTTCTTATTGAATTGAGTAAAAGAAATGGAATTACAATGGATTACACGGCTTTCGAGAGGCCGGTTCTCTCCCAAAGAGCTTGCGCCCTTTTTCGATCTCACAAAACAGAATGTCAACTCCACTAACAAACTTCCCAATATAAAGGAATTGTCTCTATTATTCTATTCAGAAAATACCAAACTACCCTCCACTTATTTACC